TAAAATAATCAATTATAGACCATGCTAAGATTTTTTGTAAATCGTGTTTAACAATTTGTGAAATTTCATAGCTTGAAAAATTTTCACGGATTGTATTTAAAAATGCTGAAAAAGCGGCAATTTCATTTCTTACATTCTTGTTTCTTGATGTTTGAACTGGTGATGTACTTTCAGTTCCTGTTTTTTCTAGTATGGATATATAATTATATATTAGTGAAAAAACATAGTTTGTGAATTTTGAATTTGCTCTCTGTAAATTTTGGTGTTGTATGTTTTTGATGTATTCTGCGAATACTTTTGAAAATTCTATGTCAACATCGTCTGATTGAATAACATGTTTGTTATGAAATTTAATTTCTGTGCTGAGTTCTATGGTGTAGATTTCATATGGTTGTGTTTTGTTAAATACTCCTTTTCAATAATGATCGATAATTTGTCTTTTGATTTTTATTTCTGAGAATTCTGCTTTACATGGGCTAATTCCTTGTTCGAATTCATTTGCGATTAAATTATTACAAAATTGTATTTGTCCTCTTTCTTCAGTGAGTGAGTTTATGAGAAATGGGAAAACAAAGTTTTCGTCTGGACTTCCATCACTTGGATTTTGGCTCATTTTTTCTTTTTATAACTGTCAGTGCGTAATGTTCAATGTGTCTGATTGGTTGGTTCCAATTGTATAAACGTACTGGTTGATTTTTGTATATTTGATGTGGTGATGTGGCTTTTGAATCAGAAAAAAATAATTGATCGTGAACTGGGTAGTTTTTATTTACTGTTTCTTTTAGTTTGCAATGTGCATCTAAATTACTGATTGTATTCAAGGGTTGGAGAATAGTAAATCGATCTACAAGGTTCAGGTATAATTAGAACGCGATTAGTTCGTTAGGTACTATTTTAAACTTACTAAGATTTAAGATTTAGCCTGGGTCAGGTAAGAGGGGGTCAAGTGAAGAATGAAAAACCGAAGTTCTTCACTGTCTAGCTTAATTAGAATGGTTAGAGTGATTTGAAGAGTTTCTATTAAACCTGGGTCTTTGAAAGGGTTGGGTAGTGAATCGACGTTTGAGGTCGTTAGACACTTTATTAATAGGGTGGGCGAGAACAAAATTGTTCTGTTTGATCCAAGGATAAGCCTTGATGATCAGATATGAATTTTAATGGTATAAACTGAATTAAATTAGGTATTAAGGAGATCCAAGGAAAGCCTTGATGATTTGTATTTAAGGTGTAGATAAATTTAAGTTAAATAAAGATAAAATTTAGGACAAGCCTTTAAAAATAATTTTATGTTTTATTGACAGAAAAGTTTAGTTTTTGATGATGTTAGTAGTTTTATGATTGCTATTATGTTTAAATGATGAAACTGGAGATGACACGATGATTTGTATATACTAATAATTTATGATCATGTTAACGATTTTTTATTTTTCTTTTAAAAAATTTATTTTTCAGATATCTTTTTGAATCTTACTGCAGTTTTGGAGGAAACGATTCGAGATGTTTTTATCAATCGTTATTGTACAATACTATATTTTGTATAACGCCTGAAATAATCATTGAAGATTGTTTTTCAAGGTTTTATGTTTGCAAATGAAAATCTAAATTCATTACTAGTAAAATTCTAAATATAAAAGTTTGTTCTGGCTTTTGCCGTACGACCATGAAACTTAATGGCAAGTTTCTTCGTAGTCGTAAATCTTCTCTTGTCCGAGGTCTTCTTCCAAAAACGGGTAGTTCTCGTATTGTACGGAATAGCGGCTCTGATCTATTGAGTCGTAGAGACAATTCAATTAAATTATTATCATGTAACATTTCGGAAATGTTTTTGTCTATTTCTAATCTATTTTGTTAGTTCTAAGCTATTTTGTTTTTTAAGCTCTTATTCGAGACTTATGGTCGCACCAGATGAGTTATGACCGAGGTTTAACTCATAGAGTAATTTCGGATAGGGTACACCGTCTGCTCGTCACGCTATCTTACTTTCAGCCGGATAGATTCGTGCAACTTCTTAGTCTAATACCAATCCTAATCTTACTCTTATACTTACTTGTCTCAGGGTGTTTAACTAGTCTCTGCTAGGCTCAATAGATCTAGGGTATACTGGCTTATTGCGATTGCTAGAAGGTCTCTTTGAGAGGTAACTAATTTCTAAGTTAAATTCAAATATCTCTTGTGCTGAAATCACAAGTAATTTCAGCACTTACAAATAAGTGGGTTGTTAGTTAGATGGATCATGGTTGGTTAATATTACATGTTTTATAGTGATAAAATATCCAATTTATAACCAATAATAAAATGTAGCTTAGATCTGGTTCCAAATTGGAGAAACTTTTTTTTAGATTCAGAAACTTAAGGCGCGATTCACCAATAAACTGGGAAATGTTTTCTGAAACAAAAAACAGGTGTCAAAACTGTGTAACTGTATTGCTTCTGTGATATGAAAAAGATTTTTTTCTGAAGAAACTTTTTACTCTGTAATTTAGTTTTTGTTTTTGAGCCAAATAAATTCTGGTTAAGTTAGTTTTTAAATCTCGCCTATCAACCAAGAGACCTTACGCTAAAAAAAGCCGCTGTGAGTTGCAAAAAAGAACTTTCCCCCCATTGGAAATAAAATTTCTCCGCATTGCAAACTTTGTCAGCAGGTTCAACATTTTCCTAAATATCAAATCTAAAGCAAAACATCAATTCTATCTCAAGCCAAATTAACCGAATTTTCAAAAAGTTTTTCGATCAGAAATGGAATGTTGAGGATTACTAATGGCAGCAGAAAGGTCAATTCTGCCAGAACTGTTTTTCCTTTTTCCAGGTCTGCTGAAAATCCTGAAAAAATTAGACGATTCAAAGTCTCTTATTTGCGTTTTGCAGATAAATCGTTTACTTTACGGGTGCTCTAGATAATTTTCATTGTGTTTCAGTTTTTTGCAATTCGAGTTGCGCCAAGAATCATAATGTTCTACTTTGGCTGGTGAAATATCTCTATTCAATTCTAGAAAACTAATTTAATATCGGGGATGATGGAAGATCTTCACAGCCGAGTTACCACATATGATACTGTAAGGCAGAGAGTAAAAAAATAGATAAAGTGTCTGAAAATGTACAAAAAACGGCATCTTTTTTTGCGCAAATCATTATCAAAAACAAAAATTCCAATTGTTCGTCCAATTGATCTTATCACTCGGAACATTCCGCCGACTGCAAAATTCCGCACGTATGTTATCCTCTTCACTGATGATTGTATGACTTCCCTTTGCAAATCTCATCAGCCAGTTAATCAACAATAGAAACAAATCGAGCTACCAAACAAGTACAGCCTAAAGGCAATCAGAACCACCACAAAAAGAAATGCAGCGAAAGCCGCAAGGAAAACAGTACCCGTGAAACAATAAACCAAAAAAAAACATAAAATAACTTGAGGAAGTGGTTCAACTTTTCTTTTTTTCGAGTGGTTCAACTTTCTGTCTTTTGATCCACTGAGTTACCCACACATTACATGAGAAAAATTTATTTCAACGGGACACAAATATATTAGCGGGTTTCAAGAGTCTCAACTGCAATTAAATTAGAGTGAGGGAATACCTATAGGAGCTTCTGAATACTTGCCTCCTAAAATATGTTCACACAGGAATCCAACGAGACGTAGCGAGAAGAAACGTCCGCCAGCTGCTAATAGGAAAGCCTTAGCTACGTGTTGTTCTTTTTTTATTCTTCATCTTCATGTCTTTTTCATGATTTTCTACTAACCTAATTATAGTTTTTTCAACCTACAGTATTTTTCACTTTTTTCCAAATCATCAATTTCTTAACAGTTTAAATTGATCATTACGAGACCAAACTGTGTACTGGATATGCGCATTTTATGGTGTGCATAGGTCACTTGAATCTAACGAAGTTGAAATTTTGAAATTTTATTGGCCTAATCAAAGGAAACACGAAACGAAAAAACGATCAATACGAGGCCAAACACAGAACACAGTTTGGCCTTGTACTGATAAAAATTATCAAAGCAAATTTCTTTTTTGATTTTGTTGAAACATTTCGCTGAAATGTTGAAACTAAGTTATCGCTCTTATCTCAATCAGATTCAAAAGCAGACATTTTAACAGGTCTGCAAAATTAGTTATTAACAAAAAGTTATCAAAAAATAAAAAAAATAGAAGTCGATGATTTCTGTGAAAATTAAATGCTGTATTGTTCAAAGGGTATACATCATGAGATATTTTGCTTTCATATTGTTTTGTAGTAAAATTGCCCTAGTTATTAATAAAATTTGGCCAATAAAGTTTGAGGCAGTTCGGCTTTGCTTTTCATGAAACTTAGTTTTAGATGAACTCCACTTATTTCAGGTTTTTAAACTGATCATTTCATTTGATTGCTCTCCTTATTTTGTTGATCGTCTGAACAGGTTTGAATTTGTTTATTTTGAATTCGCAGATTGTTTAAGCCTTGAGGTTTTAACGCACTTTTTTATGAAACAAAGAATCAAATCAGAAACAAATCAGTAAATTTTCATTTTTTGATGTTACCTCAATCACACTCAATTTATTCATCAGAAACTAATAGGTTTTCCATAAAAACACAATCGGGCAGGTTAATTCCTTAATTTTATAGTCCTTTTCAGACCCGCTCACTTTACTGCGATTCAATTATTCAACTTGTAGCAATCAAAATCATTTTTGCAACAAAACTGGTTGGTAATACAAAAAATTGATAGTATCGACTGCAAACGACTATCGCTGGAAGTTCAACTTACATTTTAAAAAATTTTTGTTATCATGATTTTGTTTCAAAAAATTAATGCAATATGGTTTCATGCATTAAAACTTTTTCTATGAAATTTAAGCAAGTTCAGTAACAGAGGAAATTTTTCTATACTTTGGTCTATTCAATCAAGTCTGTGGTCATGCATTTTGATGAGTCTGCAAATGAGCCAAGAAACTGAAAAGAAGGCATGTTTTTATAAACAATCTATTTATAGAAAATAACAGTTTTCATATGGAAAGCACAGTCTCTAAGTTTTGTCTAAAATAAAGCAACCATATATTAAATGCATTAGTTGATTGTTAATTGATTGTAAGTTTTAACAATTTTTTTGCAAGACAAAAGAAATTGATTTTTGAAATTAAGTCATTGAATTACACATTTCAATCATGCGATATCTGAAGTAACTTCTTCTCCGATATAACAACTCTTTCATACCATTTGTGTCTCATCATGTGATTATCTTCCAACAGTTTTTTTGCCTCCGCCAGCTTCTCAAGTGCTTTCTCTTTGTCAGATAAGCAACGCGACCAGCTCCTCAGTATTAGAGCATTGGCAGCAGAAGAACTCTTATTCGCTTCGTTCATTTTGTACGCTTTTTCATAAAAGAAAGCAGCCCTTTCTTTCTCATTTTCCTTTTTGAAAATCAAGTCTGCCAGTTTTTTGAATGCGAACGCTGTTTCCCCATGACTGCCCAATAAAGAATTTAATTCATTGACACTTTTTTCTGCTTGTTCGATAATACTTTGTAACTTTTCTTCATTCTTATTTTCCTTTGCTGTATCCATTTCGTCTCGAAACTTGCTCGCTAGAATTTCTATTTTTTCGATTTTTACGATTCGCTCAATTGTTTCTTTTTGTTTATTATCCGGTGTGCAAACTTCTGATTGCCATTTAAAAAGCTCTCGAAGTGACTCAGCCCAGAATTCTGCACTAAGTTTTTCTTCCCATTCGAATTTTTTCTCCCATTTTACATCGGGCAAGGTATTTTTACACATCTGTTGAACCAAACGACCCTTCGAGTAGCTCAAATAAGCTTGACAAAAACGCGAAACACTGGGCTTTAGTAATAACTCAGAAGCGTTTTCAAGTATTTCTGATGCTGTGCTGTCCTGATCTTTAATTAAACGGACTTGATGTGATATGAAACACATACTCAATATAGCATGTGAGAAGAGTTCCAGTCTCGTAAAATATGCCTGCAAGTTTTTTGCAAAGTCAAGAAAGAGTTTTTTGTTTTTAATCATTGCGCTTAAAAACCAAAGAGAAGCGAGCAGCCAGTACGCAGCAAGAGGGTCATCCCTATCCAACATTTCTAAAGAGTTTTTTGTGGAATTGTATAAAATCTTGGGATCAAACTTCAGATGCAGAGAGACAATTCGTCGTGAGGAATTAAATTGGTCTGATATTTTTTGCTGATACATGCCTATATTGAACCTGATTATATCCCGCCTACGCGTTATTAGCACGATGTATATCGAGCATTTTTTATCTGTATACGCGCGATATGTATGCCTGACAGTTTTAAGTTTTCATAGGTTTGCAACAATTGATATAAAGTAATGCGTTTTTTTAAAAGTTTGAGCTCAAGGCACCAATAGCTTCTAGTTGAGCTTTCTAGATGAGAAAAAACTTTCTGTCAAAAATGTAATAAAATTCGAAATTTGGCTGAAAAAAAAGTACCACCAGGACAATTTTGTGTCACTTTCTTCAAAAGAATCAATACTTACTATTTTATTCAACCATCTATGCTTCCGACGAATTATCAACTTTCGACCTTATTAGCACGTTGTTAATCGAGCATTTTATATCTGTATACGCGCGATATGTATGCCTGACAATTTTAAGTTTTCATAGGTTTGCAACAATTGATATAAAGTAATGTGTCTTTTTTAATTTGAGCTCAAAGCATGAATGACTTCTAGTTGAACTTTCTAGATGAGAAAAAATTTTCTGTCAAAAATGTAGTGAAATTCGAAATTTGGCTGAAAAAAAATATCACCAGGACAATTTTGTGTCACTTTCTTCAAAAGAATCAATACTTACTATTTTAATCAACCATCTACGCTTCCGACGAATTGTCAACTTTCGACCTTGAGAAACTCGAGATAGTTTTCAACATCGTCAAGAATTGTTTCGACAGCCCCGTCAAATCTATCCCTCTTTGTTAAATGATCTTGGGTAATTTTCATTAGTTTTGAATAATAATTAGAGAAATATAAGCATTTCAGATTTTTCATTTGATCCGAACACTTCCTTTGAGAGTATTCTTGAATGTAAGCGTGCATATAGTATTTATCGTTATTATCGTTGTATTGAATCAAACTCAAATCAGCCAATTGTTCGAAACATTTCCCTGCAGATGCTTCACAACGCCTGGCTGATTTGTGAAATATTGATTTCAAAGCAGACTCGTTTATGAAATCAGGGAAAATGCTAGCGCATTGCATAAAAAGCTGCAAATCATCTTCTTGTAGCAGCGATTCGAAAGACCAGCTGAGAACCTCGTCGATTCTTTTTTCTTGCTTTTCGGTCAGTTTTAATTTCGAAATATCTCCCGCTTTGATAGGCTTTCGATTCCTAATAAGCAGTCGTGATCTGAGCAGGGTCATTAGGAGTGGGACTCCATCAGAAGCAAGAACTGCTTCTTGTATGATGCTAACATCAATACCTTTAGCATTATCCTGGAACCAGGCTAAAACATCGTCTCTGGACTTGATCCGGTCTAGAGCAATAATGTTTTCTGAAAAAATATCCACGTCTGTCATCCAATTTCTGGAAGTACATAAAAACTTGATATTTCCCTCGGCTGGACAAAGGCGCTTGATTACGCTCTCCAGAACTATCTCAGACTTCTGACTGTCAAAACCGTCGATATTATCCAAAATTATCAAGAGTTTTGCGTAGTTTGGAATACTGTAGACATAGTCTTGAAGAATTACAAACGCGTCTTTAGGCGATTGGTTAACGGCTTCGCGGATCTTGCCGATGTGTTTTCCGATGACACTGCTGATTTCATTTTCCAATTCGCTTTCATCGCAAATTTTGAACTTTTTGAAGTTCTTCAGTGACACAAACAGACAAATGATCAAAGGATCCTCGATTAGAGCTTTTGCAAACGTCACAGCCAACGAGGTCTTGCCGATTCCCGGCGCGCCTGTAATCAGAATACGAGGCGATGATTCCACTCGGTCTTTCAGTTCACGTAGCTCTTCTTTTCTTCCAACTATCTCATCCATATGATGAATGTTACTTGTTGGCAGATCAGTCGGAAATTCTTCAATTTTTTTCAGAAGTTTTTTCAAGTTTTCCAGTTTCACCATGCCAGGGTACTTGTCTTGGAACATTTTGATTAGTTCTTCAAGATCTGATATTTTCTTTTTGTAAGCGGTTGCTGAAATCTTATCGGTAGCTGGAACTACTTCATGGCCAACTGAATTCCGGAGACTTCGCAATTTTTTGATGTCGCCATCATACTTAGCGGAAAGTGTGTGATCAATTGGGAACTCATCTATGAGATCAGTAAGTAAAGTTGTATCTGACCTGTCCAGGGTACCAAGGAACCGCTTATACTTCTTGTTGATGTGCATTTTGATTTCTTCGTCTTCTATGAATGATTCCCATGTAGTGTTTCCTTCTTGTAGAAAGTAAATCATCAGGCTTTGTGAGAGGCGATCGGCAGTGAACTTGATGATTCCGTTTAAAAAAACATGCCTTCTGAAGTTTTCGGCGCTTAATGAGGAGTCTTCATCAGAAGCCGACGCAGCCATTGGAATAATCAAACGCAAAATTATTGAATAAAACGCACGCGAGTTTAACGCGTGCTGTATCTTCTCAGCTCGTAACAAGAAAAATCATTGCTTGTTTGAACAAAAAGTTAGCAGCAAATTTGCTTAAGTAACATCATACAACGCGTTTCTACTTTATATCTGTGCTTTTTTTAAGATAATATTTTTCTCAATATGTGCTCTCTTATCGTAAAAGTAAAATGGTATTTTTCAGTTGCAGACGAACTTTTTTATAAGATTTTGTATTGGAGTTTCTGAATAAATGGCACTTCAGATAAAACACGAAGAAACTGGTTCGTGAAAATGGGTGTTCTAAAGAATAATAACAGTAACATGAGTTGAATGATCTTGAAACAAAGCCAAACTTAACTGACTTTTCAAATGAGTTTGCGAGTTTAGGAGCGTTCGGCAACAAAACTGCTCCCTCTGGGTTCTTTTCTTTCTCTTTGAAACAATGATTCATTGATCCAAAATGACGGAATTCATAAATTGGTGTTTCTTAATCCAGCTAAATTTTTTATATCAAAGTTTTTTAAAGCATGGTCAATACGATTTCCCACCTGCAACCTGAGTATAAAAAGTGAGCATATCATTACGATGCCAAACTGTGTGTTTTGTGAATTGTATGTAGATTCCGCAACAGGCCAAAATCAGATTTGTCGCGGAATCCGCAACACTGCTAGTTTTTTCAAACATTTGTTGTTGTTATGGTTTTCGCGAATAAGTAGCTATAGCTCTGATTTGCTCAAAATATCTTTAAAACAGCTTATTTTGCGGTATCCGCATCAACATATGCAGAATCTGGAACTTTTTGTGGAATCCGCAAATTGCAAATCATAATATAGGGATAGAAAATTTGCGCTGTCGGAGCACTAAACGGAATCCGCAAATTGTGAGCGGAATCGATTTTATCTGCATTTATTTTGATTAAAAAAAAGGATTGTCTTCTTTGATCAATTATTTGATTGCGAAACCCAAAAAAAAACAGTAAAAATTTTACTTGCGGTTTTATATTAGTCAATCCTAGTCAAAATCCAAATTTCTTGATCAGATGCAACCGGTTCAACTGCTATGTATATATTAGATTTTTGGATGAATGCTTTGATTTAGTCGCTGGAAATCTCTGACGAGTTTCAGGATATCCGATGAAGTGATTAATTTTTATAGAGAGTTTCAGGATTTCATATGACGTGATTAAGTACACATTGATGCTGAATATATATATATATATATATATATATATATATATATATATATATATATATATATATATATATATATATATGTGTGTGTGTGTGTGTGTGTGTGTGTGTGTGTGTGTGTGTGTTCACCTGCATTACACCACTGATGCATTGTACAATTTTCAATGCTGATCTTAACAAAGATTTTGCTTATTTGCTGCGTTTCCCATATTTTGATATCTTAAAAACTGCTGGCTTGAAAAAATATTATGGGTAAATCTACAATTTTGTTTAATAAATAATTCATTCTTGCTCTAGCTAAGATTTTTTCACGACGAGTTAGTTCAGTGTAAAGAAAAAACTATGGAATTCACCTATGTTTTGCGGAATTAGCATACATTTTAAGGATTCCGCTTACATGGAATCCAGAACAACTAGCTATATTCACTGGTTGCGGAAACCACAACAAAACTAACGTGACCACAAAACTCACGACACACTTAAATGTTTGCGGAACCCAATCACGTTTTGGAACTTATTTGAAGACTTGTCTCTGGATTCCGGTGACCTACAGACCTCAGTTGTGCACCTATTTAGTGCACGGTTTTGCTTCGTAATGATACATAACGCACGTCATTTTACTATGAGTTCCAACTTTCAAAAATTAACGAATCAAGTAAGTTTGGAGCGTGAAATTTTTATCGCAACAATTCGGCGGTTGAATTAAATTTTTCAAAGGCTAGCTTATAAACTTGATGATTTTGTTCAAAAACCTGGCTTCTGAGGGTTTCGACGCTAACTGAGGAGTTTTCATCAGAAGCCGAAGCAGTTATTGGAATATTCATACGCTGAATAAGCAAAAAAAACACACGCGAGTTTAACGCGTGCTGTATTTCCTCAGTTCGTAACACGAGAAACCGTTACTTGTTTGTACAAAAACTTAGCTGCAAAAAAGTTTAGCAAATATCATTGAATGCTTTTCTACTTGTATTTGTATTTTTTTAAAACAGAAAAATATTTTCAATTAAACACAAAACGGTAATTTTAGTTGTTACAACTTTGTATTTTTACTTGTTGGAAATTTGTGTTAAAATTTTTGTGTATATGGAACTGAGTTCAAATTAAACATGAGGAAACTGGTTCAAGAAAATGTACGTTCTAAAATTGTAAACACGACCACTCTTTTCGTTTTGTATGTAATTGAATAGCCCTTATATACAAACAGACAAATTCAGAGCTCAGGTTGATTGGTAAAGAATTTGAAATTTCTTGATTTTAGGAGCTGAAATCATCCAAGTTCAAAAAAAGGACGTGCAAGAACAAAAATTTTTATTTTTAACTGACCTTTAGATGTCACATGACAACTCCTGGGGGGAATGAGTATCGAAAACAAAAAACTTATATAATATTTCTGTTAGATGACTATGCTTTTGAGTATTCTTTTCTTTTTGCGTAAATTGAGGTTAAGAGTTCTCATTCTCTTTTTTAGTATCTAGTTTCTTTTGAATTGAAAGATCCTGAAAAAAAAAACTGCTACATTCTGGGTTATTGTTATTGTCAAATCAAGTCAAATCACAAGTCAAAATCAGATTTGTTGCAAAATTTGCTGCAAGTTTTTTTTTAAATATCCGTTGCTATTTGGGCATACACGAATAATTAGCTATAAAAAGGTTTTGCTCGAGACTGCTCCAAAAACAGCGTATTTTCCAGAACAATTTGTGGACTATACAAACAAACCAGACGCACCCTTCTCAGGGATTTGACCCCTTGCCGACCCCCGTTGAACAATTGTGAGATATCCATTTTTGTGACGGGCCCTAAAATTTTCCTTATAGCGCCTTTCGCGCCAATATATATTTCAGGCGGGCACGTGCCGAAAAAAAACGCCATTTTTGGTCAAAATTTTTTAAAAGGTGACAAAAAACGCCTTTTTGGCATATAAATTTTTTTGAAAATCAGACCCCTCAAAAACATTCTAGATCCGCCCCTGTACTTACTTAAAGTAAGAGCTTATGAATTAGAAGGGAGTAGAAGCTAAACAAAGAAAAAGATTTATATTTGAAACTAGTTAATCATCAATCCCTAAACTTATAGAGCCTACATTTCATTTTCTGTTCCACTAACGGGCTCTTTTCCACTATAGTCTTGTGAATTGAATAAAATTTAAGCGATTGTTATTGATGTAGGTATAAAAAACATTGTTGGAACGTGAAAACCAACTAATGTGTTTATGTTGGAGTTAGTTTATCATGAGTTTCTTTGATTTCAGTTAACTGTTGGTATGGCTAAATCAAAGCAACTGGCTCAAAGCTAAATTGACAAAAGAAGAAGCAAAAATGTTTTGAAAAATTGAAAAGTGTCAAGACCGTTTCTTTCAAAAATGGTTTCGAGTAATTCTTAAGGTTTGAGGAGAAAGCAATTCGAGCTTTCATTTTAGCTTTTTTTGAAACTGACTTTGATAATCAGCTGAGTACTTTTCGTGAGTACAAATGATACGGTTTTGAGAACCAATGGTTACAACAGCAGACATGGAAATAATCCATGACAATCATCTTGAAAATTCAATCAAAGGAATTATTTTTCTTGCTGCTTCTTCTTTTTTTTACAACTCAATTGAAACTACTGTGATATCGCTTTGAAATTAGGACCACAAATTGCTTTGATTTGTTTTGACAACCCATTGCTAGATGTTTTTGATTCACATAAGATAAGTTTTCTGGCAGTTATCTACGATACAGCTGGTCTTGTGGAAAAACAGTTCATTTAGAACCATAACATTTTTTTATTTTACCCTTTAGAAAGTAAAATTGTCTGAAACAGTGTTCTGCCTGTAAAAAATGCTTATTCATCTATCAGAATGTAGAGTGAAAATTCAGTTGTTCTTGTTGTCATGGAGTTTGTTATAACGACACAAAACTCATAACAAGACTGCTCGTATCAGGGCGAAGCCCTGAATGTTCCGACTGCTTTTTAAGGTTTATGCAGCAGTATTAACATTAAAGAATTAAATGGAAAAAAACAAAAGAAAATTTTTTGGAAAAATGCGAAATTTTTTATGAAAAATATCCCCCCACACGCCATGTAAAGTACAAAAGGATAGATTTCGCTCCTTGTAACAAACCAATTATGGCAAAAAAGCTTTTTTTAACCAATTTAGAACGATTTCTAAGACGAATTAACTCTCCGCTTACGCGTTAAAAGTGCGAAAAATATCGCGCTTACATTATCCCAAAATGGCCAACACGGCAATCTGTAAACCTTCATATCTTTACGAAAAAAATCACAGGTGAAATAAATTTTTTTCAAATTTAGGCTCAAGACAACAATACATTTTGAATGAAATAAAAACAAATCCGTCAAAAATGGCTAGTTAAAAAGTTTAAATTTGTCTGGAGTAAAAACCCACCTCGAGCGCAAATATTCCATTACTTTCGTTATGAAAGTTGGAACAACAAGAATTTCAGCTGTGAACTAATAGGTCAAGTTAATTAAAAAGATAACGTTTTGCAAATTTGTTGCAAGTTTGACATATTTGTCTGAGATCCTTTTTACGTCCACTACCTCGCTCAAACACACACATATAAAATTTGTTTACTTACTTCAGCATCCTCACTCACCACGGCGGGTAGCATCTGTTGCAAAGTTGACCTATTTGTCTGATTTTTTTTCGTATACTTCCTCTATTTCGCTCAAAGAAACAAACATAAAACTTGTTAACATACTTGAATATCCCACTCACCACGGTGAGTAACATCTGTTGTTGCAAGATTGACATATTTGTCTGAGAAAAATTTTGTTAACGCCCACTACTTTGATTAAACAAAACAACATAAGCTTGACTGAAAAAAAAATGTTTTTTTTTCAGAAACTCACCATCTGAAGCTAGCCATGAAAAATTATCACATCTTAATACAAAGGATTTTAAAAAATCCCGTTTACA